ATTTCATATGTATCCCAAAAGGACGTCTCCAGTATTGTTCATTTTTATGATAATAATCCGTTATAAATGTAAAGCACTGTACTTTTCAATATGGTCTCTTACAAACTTTTCTTCTGGATCCTCAGAATACCACTGTGAAAAAGGTATATATTTATCACCTACATTATACTGATCAGCAAATTAATTCTTGTTTAGACATTCCCTAAACCATACAGCCAGTGGCAAAGCCAACTCTGGAATCCAAGTTTCCTGACTTAACCCATTATTCCAGAGCCCTCATCACTTCAAAGTAGCTGACCAGAGTTGACAAATGACACAAGAAGGAAAGGAAAAGAAAGATGATAAAAGGGCACGAACAGTAGTAGACCTTGTGGCAATTCTGTTAAAAATTTTTAAAAACTTGGCCACGGAGCTGTTTCTTATCTAGCAAATGAATTTACCTACTTCCTCCTTACCCTCATCTCTGCTCCAGTAATAGTAAGAACCAAACAACTGCCCATGACCTGACATGGGTTGCAATGTTCCAGCACTAGGTTCTGAGTCTTTCTGGGTTCTCAGGGTAGGAGGTGGGCATAGCGTCCATCTAATTTAGGGAGAATCAATGGTGTCATCTGTGAAAGGAGTAAAATTCCCTTCTGTATATTACTGAAAACAAAACAAAACAAAAAACTATAGTTCTCTCTTGTCCAGACTTCAAAAGAAATTCAACTGTGGTTATATGTTGTAGCTGGATTTTATTCATTCCTTCTACAAACATTTGTGGAATTTCTACCATAGGTAAACCAGAACGTAAGGAACTCCACATACATAACATGAGTCAAATGTAGATTCCACCCTGAAGGAGCTTACAGGAAATAAATGGGGAGACATGGGCATGAATCTGCGTCCCATTGAAATACCATAAGAAACACTGTAGATCAAGTGCTTTGGGAGTTCAGTTAGAGAAACTCCTTCTGGTTGGGGATAAAAAGGGAGACTTTGTGGGGTTTGAACTTGAAGATAGTTTCTGAAGAAAGCAGCTTTAAAAATGTGGAGTGTTTTAGATTGGCATGACTATAGGCATGTGAGGATAAGTGGGAAACACAGTTAGAAGAGAGGGAAATAAAGTTAGAAGGGTAAGCTGGAGCCAGATTGTGGTGGGCCTTAACAATCTAGATAAGGAATTTGAAAGTTAAGTGTGAGAGTTGAAGTTCTCAAAGAGTTCTGAGAAAACTTGAAACACTTAGGTTAACTCTAGTTTGCAAAGTTTGAAGAAAAGCAAATCTCGACTTATTTACATTTAACCATTTTCTGTCCTACTGAAGGGTCATGGAATAAAGATGATTAATTCTTTTTAATCAAGGTAATGTATTAACTGGAGAAGGCAATGGCAACCGACTCCAGTACTCTCGCCTGGAAAATCCCATGGACGGAGGAGCCTGGTAGGCTGCAGTCCATGGGGTCGCTAGGAGTCGGACACGACCTGAGCGACTTCACTTTCCCTTTTCACTTTCATGCATCGGAGAAGGACATGGCAACCCACTGCAGTGTTCTTGCCTGGAGAATCCCAGGGACGGGGGAGCCTGGTGGGCTGCCGTCTGTGGGGTCGCACAGAGTCGGACACGACTGAAGCGACTTGGCAGGAATGTGTTAACTCCGGCAATGATCCCTTCTGACTAGTCCCTTACCCTCAGTGATGAATGTCTGGGTTTGGATTGAGATGTCAGGAGAGGCAAAGGAAGGGAAAATGTCCTGTTGGTGACTATATCCGATGCTCAGTTTAACTCGTTCAAACCCCGGGATAAACCTGCTTTGTTGTCTTCAATTATTGTTTTCTATAAGCTGATGGCCCTTCACTGGAAGAGGAATCCTTAGTCCATCTCTAAGTTCTAGCACAGGGAAAATAAAAACAGGCAAATCAGTACCTAGTTTTCTGATGGAGAGAACCCATTATAAGGATGGTTGCCTCTGGAAGTATCTCAGCAGGAGTCCCATCAAGTCTTTTCATTCCAGGGACTAGGAAAATGAATAAACTTGGGCGAGACAGCTCATGAAATTATCCATCCCTGCATCATCCAGCAGTCATATGATAATGTTCCAAGCTATGGTGTCTGTATAATACTCATGTGAAACTTCATTCTCATAGAGGAGAAGAAATCAAGTCATTATACTGTCACTGTCTCCTAAGAAATATTTCACAGCCTGAGACTGTGAAAGAATAGGGGAAACTTTAAATTGTTCCTTAAATATACATTTTTATGTGTACAAATACACAAGTACATTAAACATATTAACATTATTTAATATCATTTTATTATATTATGTTTAATTAAAATAGCAAACGTTCTTCTTGAAAAGTGAAAATTACCCATTCCCAATAACATGTTCCACAGACTAAAGGGCACATATTCAGTTATCCTAACTGCTCATTTTTTTAGTAAAAATAGTTTACAACAGTCAGTTACAATACAAATCATGATAATGATATACACATTTTTCACACATTTAGTTATAAATTTTGGCTAAAACTACTTTATAAATACCACTGTCTTTGATGGGCATAAAAAGGCAAAGAACCCCAAGTACTGGTGACCTGGAAAATTCCCCATGTGAGGAAGGAAGGCAAGGCGAACAAGCAGAGGTGAGAACTCTGGACCAGCCAGGCCAGCAACCAGGGAGTGCTGGAGGGTTCCAACCACCCCACTCCTCACCACCATTACCCCCTCTCAATTTACCTTTCAAGTATTTATTTAGTCTTTATTATTATTCTCCTAATATGAATACTATTCCCTATCTAATGACTCCTTCCTAGCATATGAGTAAAACTAACAATTCAGAGAACAATCAAGTGAAAACGCAAGTCGCCCTCTAGCAAAACCGTTGAAAACACCTTCCTTTAAGGTTAAAATTAAACAGTCTCCTCTGACTTTTTTTCTTCCCCATGACTGCAAACCCTGGGTAGGTCTCACGCCTTCTCACACCTTCCCCGGCCACCCTGCACATTTATACCAGCTCAGAGACCTCCAAGAGGCAAGTAGCAAGGCAAATTAAAAAGAAGCAAATGATCCACAGATCTAGTGCTTTGTTTCTAGGAGCAAGTGGCGTCCACTTCCAGAATCTCTGAGGCTAGAATGATAGGGGAACTGTGTGGTCCAGAAGAAATTATGTGTGGACCTGAATGTCTTGGCATTATTAAATTTCCCTACTGGGCCAACATACTGCCTCCTGGCAGTTTACCAAATTTTGCCTAACCTCATCCACATTTAAAAGTCTATGGAAAAACAGGAAGACCTTTCAGGGGGAAATTCATTCATGTTTGGATTCAGGCAGACTGAGGAACCTTTAATAGCACTGTCATTATCCTGCAAGGCACACCACAGAGCAACCAGCGAGCTCTCCCTCAATGGACATAAAATTTCCTCTGGAATTTACAGAGCAGAAACCTTAAACACACATCGCCATAAGAACCAGATTACATAATGTCTCCATCACCCTCCTGACAGCTACAATTATGAGTCAATCCCTGGTTTAAATATGAAACCGGAAGCTCCGTGTTTCCCCTCTGACTATGTGGCAGGCTAAGTGCAGCTCTCCGGGCCTGTCAGTTTGGAGATCTGAGCTGCTCCCACAGTCACTAATTTAGCCTGAGACCAAATGATTGGGGTAATTAAAAGCAGCACTGCAGAGACCCACTCCAGGACCAGATGTTCTCCTTGTTTAACCATTGCCCACATAAGGAACAGAAATAATGCCCACCCCCCTCTTTAATTTTTCCTTTTTTTTTTTAATCCTCCCCAGCTAATTTCCGGCTTCTGATCTTTCAATCCCACAAAATAAAATAAAAATAAAAGCCCCATTACCAAAAGATGACATGTTATTGAACACATGCCTGTAAGTTGTAATGTGACCTGTAGTCTCTTCTTTTCTTGAAGCCTTCCAGCTCAGAAGACTTAAGTTGCCCTGGCAACCTCACCGGACCAACAACTCTAGAGAGCCCCACCTAGCTGCAAGAACGTGAATTTGAGTCAACACAGGCCATTCTGGCACGTAGTAGCCCAGAGACTAGCAAATAACACTGCTTTTTGTTTTATTTTAGGAGCCAAAGACTGGCTGAATGAGGCATCACCTCCCCTTTTATTGCCAAAAAACAGGACATATAAATGTCTCCACCCTAACTTCTAGAATGCATTGGCTAAGACGGCCATGGATCATCTGGTAAATAAAGGAGAGGTCTTTTTTTCATTTTTCTGACTACTGGACAAATAACAAGACAGAAAAAAAGGGAAGTTGAACTAATAAGTTAAATCTTTCAAAAAGGGAACGGCAGTAGGTAATGCAGCTAGTCCAGTCTCGCAAATTAGGTGAACTAGCTTTCTGTGCATACGTCCTTTGGGATCCAGGATCTGGTCACCTTCTAAACTGCAAGCTTCCCTGGCATTAAAATACCAGAGATTGTAACGACTCTCTTGCAAATCGAGAGACTAGAGAATAATTCCACAGTTTCTGACCATAGACAAGCCCCTTTTACCTCTGTAAAGTAATGCATTGCTCTGCAGTGGGGAATGATAGTTTTTGCTGTCTTCTTTTCGGGTTCTTATCTCTGCAAACTTCAACCTCACCAACTATTTCTAGGCATGTGCAGTTCTAGTTTTTAAAATAGAAGGTATTACCAAATCCTGAGGACATCCAAAAAAAAATAGGTATAGTCCTTTAAAAGCTAAATGCATCTAAATGCATGAGACATGATTGTTTACATGGTATTTTTGACTCTGTATCGGTGTTATAAGAACCTTCCATTCTGGCCTTCAACGATCCATTTGGATCATTAATTATTTGGGAGAGTCAAGTAGGTTGATGCAAGTCATTCCCTATTAATGACCCAATCAGAAATAAACATAAAACTGCTCTGAAAGAAATACTGTAAATTGGAAGGAAACAAATCCTCAATAATTTGGAGAAAATTCAGGAGCTCTGTAAAGTGAGGGACACTGCTACTGATGCTGTATATAACTTTTCTTCTATCAGAGAATCATTTTACATGTGGGGTCTGATGTGGGTTGTGCTGACTCATTGAGAAAGACCCTGATGCTGGGAAAGAGTGAAGGCAAAAGGAGAATGGGGTGGGAGAGGATGAGATGCTTGGATAGCATCACCGACTCAATGGACATGAATTTGAGCAAACTGTGGGAGAGAGTAGAGGCAGAGGAGCCTGGCATACTACCGTCCATGGGGTCACCAAGTGGGACATGACTTAGTGACCGGACAACAACAACAGCGCCCACCTGGCTAAACAGACAGGAAAAAACAATTTGAAGAGTTTCAACTCTCAGGGATGATAGCCACATCAAGACAAAAATGCAACTCAGAATAACAGCCAAGCAGGGCCACATGATAAGAAATAAAGTTGAGGACAGTTGTATGTTGGGCATACTGTACCCTGACACAAACATCTTTAAACTGGACTTTATATTTCTCAACACCTAACTCTGTGTGTGTGTGTTAAGGAAGCTGAGGGAGTTGAGAGGAACATCCATTTGTTTATATCAATGTCGCTTCAGTGGTGTTTCCTGCAGATACCTGGAGATGTATTTGAAATAGGATGTTCTCTACTGTCTCATTTATGAGCATCCTCATTTTGGTGAAAAAAAATTATTGGTTTTTATTGAATGGTGAAAAAGTCAGGTATTCAAACCCTCAGAGGAAAACACTCAAGTTACAAGTCTAAACAAAGCCCCAAATAACAAGAATCATGGAGATATATTTAGATCAATATATAAGAAACATGATACCCATCATACATAGCCACTGTGTCTTACTGTCCCACATCCATGGGATGTTCAAAGAATGAAGAATCAACCATGCACACTCCTTGCAAATATAAACTGTGATTCAAGCTTGCCAGTATTAACCATCCACTCAGGGAAAAGAATGCCTCCTCCACCTCAGTGTCCCACTCTGCTTGGGTCACTTCAGGAAACATTTGCAGCATGTCTGTGCTCTCAAAATGTCTTCCTGTTCCTTCTTTCAAACTTCTACCTAGCCAAGGGTCCCCAAGGGATCAAATATAAGTTTGGTCCACCAACCTATTTCTTGTTTACATTGTAAGTGAGAGAAAATGGCATCAAGTTAGTATTAATTCTTTATATTCCACACATGTGTTGCCCACTCATGATGGTCAGGCAATGCTCTAGGGACATGGGATGCCAGAATAAAAGACAGGTCCTCAAGAAGGTATATTCTAGTGGAAACAGATATTAGACTATTAGCCCTGGTTATAATTGGTGCAAAGTCAACAAAAAACTCTGCGATCCTTTTACATTGACATTTACTGCAGATTCAGGCCCATACATCTTACACAAGTGCTCACCTCCAATTTAGAAAGAATCCTGCCAGCACCCAGAGCTTTGTGGTATCAGTTATCTGGCCTTTTGTTATTCATTTTAACAGATGAAAAATATTAAACTCAGAGAGGCTACGTGGGTTTTCCCAGGGCCACACAGTTGTCTCAATGGAGGAAACAGGGAAATCTTAGAGAATAATCCTAGCACTAAAATAGCAGTAGCATCCAAGAACGTTAACGTTTTCATGTTACATCGTTTTACATCTACATTTTACATTTTACTGTGACCAATTCTGTACCTGCGACATAGCCCACTCCACCTCTGAGAAAATGGAAAACCGGGAGCAGTGACCTCAAAAACAACTTCCTCCTCCAAACGCAATTTCTTGTCTGCCTAAACCTTTACAGCAGGGCAGGTGGTGTGAGTTTTACCAAAGAGTCTTTCAAAGCAGGAACTCTGGCCTGCAGGTCAGCCTGGATGTTGTCCAAATTGGGTTCCACCCACGATGAAAACCAATCTGTTTATGGGTGCTTCTTTACGATGTTACAGAATGTCTGCGAGAGACGGGGCTCCAGTTCCCGCCTGCTCTCTAAGTCGCCCGCCCCACAAAGGTGCACACACAAACACGAGACAGAAAAAAAGCTGGATGGGCCTTCCCTCCTCCCAGGCCTGCAATGAAATGCGCTTTAATTGCATCAAAGGGCTCTTCTCAATGGGGTTTCAGAGCCGCGAGAGCAGCGTTCCCGGCGAGGGCTCCTTTCCGGCTTGCCAGCATTCCTCTGCTCGGCGAAGGGAAGGGGACGGGGCTCCTTCGGGAGGCCCGCAGGCTTATTTCCATTCCGTTCGCATACAGCCTCCGTTGTGCGATCTGGGCCTGCCGAGGGCAGCCTCGGCTGCCCGCGAACAAAGCCCCATTCATCGCCAGGGCCGGCTTCCTCCCGGCCGCGCGGCCGCAGATGGGCTGCGCCGGCACGCCATCCAGAGACCCGGGCGCGCGGCCCGGTTGGGCGCGCACAGGCCCGATTCAGGAGGCCGGCTCTCGCCAGGGCCACCCTGGCTTCTATTTCGGCAGACTCTGCAGTGAGGATCTGCCGAACCCCATTTCCACTTCAGGGCGGGAGATCTGCGGACACTGAGTCTTTTCAGCGTGGAAATTCTCAGTTTACTCACGAGTCGTTCAGAACCGAGCTGTCAGTTTCCACGGCCCTCCCCGCCCCCACCGTCCGCCCCCGGCTCCGCCACCCCTGCCCCTCGGGATGGTACGGCCCAAAGTTCTCCGAGTTGTGAGAGGACTTTGTTTCTCGTCCGCGGCCTCTGAAATCCCGACGAAAGGGTCACTTCCTGACTTTTGTGTCTCTTCAATCCAGCGCCTGGAACGTTCTTACCCTCTTGTTGTGACTAGAAGTACATCATTGCAGGCCTTCTCCGTTAACTTTTTTTCAGAACTTAAACATTCCTCTAGGCTGAAGTTTGGAACTATGGCTTCACAACAAAGACCACTGTTTTTCCTCCCCCGTCTCACCCCTGGAAAAAAGGAAAACAGAAAAGAAAACGCACTTGTTCACTACCCCTGTTTACAGCTGTGAAGCACATTTCCTCTGTCCCACACATTAGACCAGCAATAGGTTAATGCCACGGAGAGCTCTAAGGTCAAATAAAAGAGTTACAAGCCTCTTTTTCCTTAATTCCCAGGCAGTTGGAGGGGTGTGGTGAGGAAGGGGGGTGGGGGAGCTGGGGCTGGATTCCTAGTCCACAATCTAAAGCACAAAGCTCCAGATCCACATTCCTATGGAGTAGATGAAACGGGATGGCAAAATCAAAGAACACCAGATATAGGAAGACTTATCAACTCTAGTCCATTCATTTAACAGATAAGAGATAAGATCTGGGAGGGGAAATGACATGCCCACACTCAAAAGGAAGCTGGTTCATCTTAGTAAAAACTGCCCTCAGCCAAACCTGCAAAATAACCCTAAAACTAATTTTCAACAAGAAAATGTCCAAGAAAAATTATTGTTTAAAAAGATGTATTTGATGTCTTCTTTTCCCTCTGCATCAGAAAAGGCCTCCCCTTGTGTTGGTGGAGGAAAGGTGAGAACCTGGGATTGAAATGAAATTTAGAAGAGAATCTTCCAAGTGTTTTCAGAAAGAACACTCCCTGTGTTTTTTGCTTCCTGCATTTTGAATACTGCTGACCTCCCTTCTTAAAGCAAAATATTGCATCCTTGATGTGGTTAAAAAACACAGCAAAATAAAAACTTATTACTCACCACTTTAAGACTCTTTTCCTCTTGCTGGAAAAAAACCTTCAGCATGTTCAAATGGTGATAGGGTTACTTTGCAGTGGGTGTTTGTGAAGGTACAAATGAATCAGAATATGAAAGAGAGCGCGCAGGTGTATGCTTGTGATGTCCCAGGCACTGTTCTAAGCCCTTGACATACATTACCTCATTGGATCCTCACAGTAACCTCTGAGGTTTGCTATTAACCATACTTGAATTTTACAGAAAAAGAAATCAAGGCTGAGAGAGATTAACTTTAAACAAGATCTCAAGGATGTTAAGTGTCCAAGCAGGGCAGTCTGTCACCTGAGCCTGATCTCTTGCATGCCAGGCTTTACTTAAACTATATGCACAAACATGCAAGAATACACCCTGGGTACAGAGAGCTGGAGTTGGGAGCCTTGGAAACTCTAACCAGACATAGGTCTTTGTGCTTCTGAAAGAGGTCACACTATGGGCCTGAAGGCTATCGGAGGAAGAAGCTGCTTCATCCGGTCCCACTTGGAAAGAAACCATTTGAGGATTTCCTAATGTAACACTGAAACTACCCTTTCAGAATACAAAATAGTGGAAGTTAATTGTCACTACCTATTCTGAGCAGCCTTGTGATTTTATCTTTTAAGCAATATTCTGTAAACTTACAAGAGTATCACAGTGTGCCGAGTCAAACAGAACTTGGATTGAAGTCCAGATCTGCTATTTCCAAGAGATGAGACTTTGGAAAATTTATTATACCATAAACCTCAGTTTCCTCATCTATCAATTGAGAAAATAAGAATAGCTATCTCATTGGGCTGTTCTGAGGATTAAATGAGATTTTCCATGTAAATGTTCACAATAGACTTCTTCCTACATTCAGCATTTGTATGAATCCCTGTAGACTAGCTTATGCTGTGGTTTAAAAAATGTGCATTCTAACAGCATAGATTTATTTCTCACCCACTCTGTATGTCCATCCCAAGTTAGCTGGAAACTCTGTTCCATTTCTCTTACTGGTGAAGTATCTGCCATCTCAAACAAATCTTGCTAGTTGTCATGGTACAGGGACAAGAGAGCATTGGAAAGTAATTATTCTGGTAAGAAAATGCTCAGTCTGAAAGTAACACGCATCACTTTCTCTCGTAACTCATCAGCCAGAACTAATACACTCCCTCCCATCTCACAGCCCACCTACTAAAAGGCCAGGAAGTACAACCCTACCATGTGTCTAGAATAGGGGAGGAGAGGGACTGAAAATACATGGTGACCAGAATTAATGACTTCACACTCAATAAACAACAATTCTTTTTTCTTGTTGTTTAGTTGTGAGTTTGTGACCCCATGAATTGTAGCCCACCAGGTCTCTCTGTCCATGGGCTTTCCCAGGAAAGAATACTGGAGTGGGTTACCATGTCCTTCTTCAGGGGATCTTCCTGACCCAGGGACAGAACCTGTGTCTCCTGCATTGGCAGGCAGATTCTTTACCACTGAGCCACCAGGGAAGCCCATTCTTCTTCCTTAGGATATCAAATACTAGTTCTTTTTGGCAATTTCCAAATGTATAGGTAGTCTTTGCTTTTTTAAAAAAATTATTTTTATTGGTGTACAGTTGATTTACAATGTTGGTTTAGTTTCTACTTATAGCAAAATGAATCAGTCATACACTACATATATCCATATACATAGTTTATAATTATACATATACATAGATTCTTTGTTATACATATACATAGATTATACATATACAGAGATATACATAGATTCTTTTCTCATACAGGTAAGTTATACATATACATAGATTCTTTTCTCATATAGGTCATTACAGAATATTGAGCAGAATTCCCTGTG